AAGGCATCTGTAACATGTAATATGATATTTTGTTGGATGGAATCAACTGTGTGTGTATGATTTCATGTAATCGTTAAAGGATGAGTCAGCTTGGTACTCTTAAATATACATTTATGTAGTTACGTTAAGAAAAAACACTAATATAAAACACACAAAGCAAGGCATTATCACTGGCGTTTTACACGCGACGTTCACAAAAACAGTCTTTTTCGGCTCCCGAGATCTCGTCTATTTATAGTTATGGTCAACCGGAAGCTATTAAAATCATAGGATTTCCGGGTTCTTCTGATTGGTTAAGATCATCTTAAGTTAAGATTAAGGTTCTTCTGATCATCATTAAGCTTTTAGTTTTTTGAGAAATTACGTTAATGGCTATTTGTCTCCCGTTAAGCGAGTAAACTAGAAATTAATTATCACGCGAAGTCTTGGAGGGCTGAAGACCATTATAATTTGAAATCTCTCGAGAGAAAGTTTAAGGGAACTATTACATATATAATGTAATATTCTTCATGATTTTTCTGTCAATAATCCTAATTAATCAAATTATTTAAATGAAATACTTAATTATTAAATTTGCTTAGCCGTCGATTATTTTTTTACAGAATTATCGATGATCAACTCTGTGTAAACTGCTGTATAATGGCAATCACACACGCTCGACTACATAGTAATTGCTAGTTGGTTTTTAGCGTTCGGTGAGGCATGTAAATCTCACAAACACCAATAGTTATAAAGCAATTTCTGCAACAATTTATCTGCAGAAATCGCCAAAATCGTTAACCAGTTAGGAAATTATGTCTTGAAACATATTTTGTAAAATTAAATACATAGCATCACGTAAACAATTGTACAATTCAATTGTACAAACAATTGTACATTTCAATCTTTTCAACAAATAAGATGATCATTTCTTTTCCAACCGAATTAGTTGAAAAGTTAATGCTCAAATCCCAAAAAAATTGCCCCAAAAGTGTAATTTTAAGTATGTTCCTTACATGGCAAAGTTACAAACCATTTTTCACCAAGTATTTCTCTGGAATCTGAAAAAAATATCCACAAGTCTACAAAATTCTCTTAATTTTGAGCATCGATTCGCACATTCAATAAAATTAAAAATCTTTTCTGAATATTTCTTCGAATTATTATATAACGGGCGCAATTTTCATTTTATTAGTCTATCACTGATTTTAATATTTTACATTACCTCTTTTTCATTTTTTGAACTTTGTTCTCTATCTGAAGCAAAAACACAAGCGAATGTTTTTCTGTTAAATGGAATTTGCTTTTGATTGCACACAAATGAAATCTCAACGACAACTATTGATTATAAGAGCACATCTTACTACTAAAAAATTAAATCGCCCAGAAATCTCAATGCGATTAACAGTTCAGTCGTAGAAGAATTCATTGCCCTTACTCTTAGTGTTTTTCTTTTTCGCTTATCAAAATTTAGACATAAATTACTTTGGGCATCCATAATGGTAATATCATATAATTAGTCAAACTCACTATTAAATAAGAGTTAGTTATCATCATAAAAATCCTTTACTATTAGGAGTAGAAATAGTTAAAAACTAATTTACATTTTAATTGCTTAAAACTTTGTCATTTATATTTGTTAATAATTTGCTTATAATTAATCTATATTAACTGATGAAGAATTAATTTACTGAAAAACAATCCACAGATGCCCTACTATGTTTGTTATAGCACGCAGTGGCGCACACAAGGAGGGGGGGAAGGTCCCCGGGTCCGAACCTCATAGCCCTTGAATTTTTTTTAATTTGGTGATATGATAATCCTATATATATATATACATAATACGTAAAATTTAATTAAGTATTTGTAATTAACAATTTATTTCATTAATTAATGCTAATTATTAATTAAATTATTTATCATTTACTGTTTTTTGTTCCCCAAATCTAAAAAATATCAAAAGAATACGTTGGACGGCGTATTGGAGCATGAGACGAAAATGGCGGACTTTCGATCCTAGACCCCCCAAAAATTTTTTATGTGTGCTACTGATAGCATGCAATTAAAAGTTGCATGAAACTTCTTAATATGAACATAATATACAGATTTCACACAGAGATGTAAATGATTTTAAAAAAAAACTCAATTCAAAACGAATTTGAATTCTATGCCTTTTGTCAATCTGAAATTGAGTTAGTTAGGGGTTCCCGCAATACTTGAATAAAGATTTCAAGGTAAACTGTTGATTCCATCATTGAAATGTAAAGCAGCTGTTTTGAGAAATATATCTTAAAAGAACCCCCATTCTCAAGAACGCCATAAAAGTAGCAATAAAAAGTTTTCAAATATTTAAGAAATGCACCTGTTAGCCACGCCTTCAAAAGTATTAAGTCATCAATGAGATCTCTTTTAAAGCACACACACACACATTTGAAAAGATTTACGTACCTGATAATCCCGCCTTTAATGGCCACTGAAGAACACTCGTAACTTGTGTCCTTAGGATTTAAAAATGGACGAATCAAAAAAACTCTGGGATCCTCTCTCCCCCTCTCACTCCCCTCTCGCAGGGTCAAACATATAGATGACCACTCTTATTTAAACCTCAACTTCTCCGACTCTGTAGTCTTTGGACGCCTTTTCCCCATACAGCACGGACTGCCAAGAAGCCATAAGAACCAAGAATTGGAAAGTCTGTAGTAGAGATTGAATATTTTCAATTTTCTTGTTGGAGCAAATCTTTTTTTAAAAAATAACGTTAAGATTTTAATACTTTTCGAGCAGGATCTGACTTTTCACATGTGCTAGAAAAGTAAAATTTGCCAAGGAGTGTACAAACTGTAAGTTTTTATTCTATTCTGTTCACTTGTGATTATTAATGGTTCTTACATAATTTTATTAATATATTTTATCGTTTAAGAGATGTAAGCTCGCTTTGAATGTTTTAATTTTTTTCAGCAAAATATATATTTTTGTCGAGATTTAGTGTATTAATTGAAATTAAAATAAAAAGTTACTTTAATACTAATTTTAATTTTAAGAAAAGAAATTGGATTGATGTTGAGTTTCTCCTATCCTCTCCTATGGTGTGTAAAAGTCAACCGTCTGCTAACTATATGAAATGTATCTAGCTTAATTAATTTTCACTCAGAAATGAATAATAAAACATTTTCTTTTATGTATGTATATCTAATGTGATCTCTTATGTATGAGATGTACGAGTGTCTAATATTATAATAAAGCTTAATATTTTCAAATTACTAAAACTTACATTTTAACATATACATCCTAAATTCTTGAGCGTTGTTTTAATCTTTTGAAATTTATATTTATATTCTTAAGGATAAGAGTTATTGAGATTATTTGCATTGAAAAAAGTGCATCAAAAAGAATAAAAAATAAGATAGGTTCTATCTGGTTGCATTTCCCCCTGATTTTAGAATATAGTTGTAAAAAAAATGAGCAATGTGAGAACTTGCATGCGAATTTCTAAAATAAACATAATACTTTCGAAATTGGAACAGAAATTTGAAAAAAAATCTTTTTGCTTTTTATGCCTTTGGGTGTGTTTTTTTAATTGCAATAAATACTATCACCTCTACTTGTTAGGTTAATATGGAATTCTATATAGATGATGTCCCTTGTATGTTAAAATTATTATTTGACAAAAAAAATTCCTGTTCAAGTTATTCCTTCAAACCTATCTGTTTACGCTACCTTCCTCGGAAGAGGGAATAAATTTAAAAGTAATTTAAAAGTATGCAATGGGGGGGCAAATAAAGCTGGGAAACATTAACCATGGCTCAGTAAAAGAAAAAAAAAAAGGGACCTTTTTTTAAAAAAAAAAATTGCTTATTTTTTGCTTTGAAATGATAATAGAAATATGTATTGGTGGGTTACAAATTTTAAAAATCTGTTTTAAAAGTGTGATAGAATGTTTTTAAATATAATTTAAATATACCCCTATGACAATTTTTGGAGAAATTTTCAAAAAGTTACATTTAATAGCTTGTATTACTTCCAGAATATTTATTCTGAGAAACGAATTTTTTTAAAACATGTCACATTAATAGTAAATTAATCTTAACAAAATCTTTTTTGAAGAAAAAAAGCTCCCAATAAAAAGGAATCGGACTATGTTGTTGACATGTTTGCTGCCACTCGCTAGTAAGAAATAACTTGTTTTTGTGGTATGCACTAGCAAAAATTCATAAATGGAATCTCCTTCCTTATTTTTAATTAAATACCTTTTCACGTATTTAGCCTCAACTATGGTCTTCACCTAAGACAATCGGAACGCTTTAAGAAAATCGCTTCACGACGTTTTTTCCTTATGTCCATACTGTTCATAATGATCGAGATAAAAGATTATTTTGAAAATGACTGGTAGAGTGCAGTCACCAATTTTTTGTGCCTTTATTCTATCGTTATTATTAATTTAATAGCATTTTTTCAAATATGAAAATAGTAATTTTTTTTTCTTATAAAAAGTTTTTCTATAGGGTACCTTGAGAGAAGTTTCAAAACGATAGAAATTCGTATGCATTTTAACCTGCAAATTTTATATTTGTTAAACTTTTTAGACACATCTCTCTTTAAAATATCATTTCATATAATATTTGTGTGTAGTTTCCAAAACAATAAGATAAGTAATGCTTTTTTTTTAAATATGTTCCTTTCATGTATATATTTACACTTTTGTGAAACTGCGATCTAAAGTAAAACAAGTAGTATACAAAAAAAAATTAAGTCAATTCCTATCTAGGTCAACAAAGAAAATTTTTATTTTAATTACTTTTTATTTAATAGTTACAATTAATATAAATATGTATATACATATGACAGAATCACGTTATTAAGTTTCAAAATAGAAAGCGATTTTCCTTGCAATTTCCTATTTTCCTTTCTATATAGTTTTTTGAACTATTTATTGTTTGTTTGTTACTATTTATTCATTCATTAAATTTAATTATTCCAATAAAATGGTATAGTAAAAAAGAAATCACATTCTCAGAAATTAGGCCATCCCATTGGGATTCGAACCCATGACCTTTGGATTGGAAGTCCAACTTGCAATCCATTGCACTACTGGCACACAACGGATGATTTTCCTTTCTATATATGCTGTTGGATTATTTATGTCTGTTACTATTTATTCATTAATTAAACTAACGAATTAATATTTTAACAAAGAAGTTAATTTAATTAATCAATTAATATTTGAAAAAAGACGTAAATGAAATTTAATTAATGAATTAATATTTGAATTAACATCAAGTGTCATCTCCTGCAAGTTTAAAAAAATGTATTTGAATTTGAATTTGAATGGATGAATAGAAAGTATTTTATTAACGATTGAAAATTTTAACAAGATATATAGGGAGATTGTGAACTAATAGTAGGAATTGAAAATAATTACCGTGAACTGTGGTATATACCAGCATTATAACTTGGGTTGCTAAAATATTTTAGTTGCAGCAAAAATTGAAACCGCATTATTAGTAAAAATTATAGATTTTTCCCAATACAATTTGGGACAATCCTTTTTTTCACCGATTTTCTTAAGGAGATCCCCTTATTTATAACATTTATTTAGCTCTACATTTTCGATAACTGTAACTTCGCTAGTTCCAAACAGATGGTATGGAAGTTGCAAAGTTGTGGGGACGGAGGGGACTCACAGAGGAAAGCAAAACCTAGAATCTTTTTCTGAAAGCGCGTCAAACCTGCGAATTGAGCTGGTGTGATTTATTGGGTAATAAAAATCCAAAGAAGGCGGGGGAGTAAAAAGTGTACCCGTATGTCAGCTGTGTTCTCCTCTCTATACTTACCGTTAAATCTCGCATGACGGCACCAACAGTAGATACTATTATTCTTCAGACCCAACTTACAGTACCGTTATTTTCTCTTTGAACAGTTTCAAGGAATACAAACGAATGATAAATAGCTTGCAAACCGATACTCAACAAGTAATATATAAAAAAGAATAAAACTAAGTCAATTCCTACTTAGATCAAATTTTTATTTTAGCTACTTTTTATTAAATAGTTACAATTAATATAAATATGTATATGCATAGGACAGAAGCACAGCATTAAGTGGTAATTAATTTTTATTATCATTAAAGTATCGTATTGTCATCCAAAACAATCGTGTGTATAAAATTTCAGTTCAACTGAATGCCTTAAAACGTGAGGGAAAAAAACCTTTTAATGTTTTGACCCAAGTCGCTAAAATGGTTGCTAAATCGCCAAAAATGATGCCGACGTGGCTGTATTTGTAATTCTTTGAATAATTAGTTTTGATCAATTAATTTCTATTAATTATAATTAAATTACTGTATTGTCATCCAAAATAATCATGTATATAAAATTTCAGCTCAATTGGGTGCTTTAAAATGTATTTTATTAACGATTGAAAATTCTACCACGATAAATATATAGAGTGTGAGCTAATAGTAGGAATTCAAAAAAGCGTAGATAAATTATATCTCAAGTTATTCGAATCTGGACACTTAAAAAATGATTTTATTAGAAATGTCAATGCTTTTATAAGATCAAAATAAGTCGGAATTAATCTTAAATGGTAGAAATTATTATGTACTCTCATAATCGAATTTTTAACGAAAGTATGTTTGCATGAATAACAATGGCTACGTTAAAAAATTAATTTGAAGAAAGCTCGATTTTTATTTTTTGTGATACTTAGTGATTACTGATACCATAACTAATAATACTTATTTGTGAGTTAATTAATGCAAAATTTAGCTGTTCGTATTAGCTTTCCCCACAAAAACAAATTCCTATTTGGGTTATTATTGTGTAACATTGCTTTAATCTAATTAAAAACCAAAATTGCGGATTTTTTAAAAAAAATTATTTATCCAGATTAATGTTCAAGAATATAACTCGAATTCGGAATATTTTTCAGATATAAATATTATATTCTGGTTTCACTATCCTATACAGAATCACTTATTTTACCGTACTGTTTATTTTTATCCGAATTGAACCATTTTTTTCTGATATAAAATGTGTTTCGCCTTTTTTCCCATTCCATAATGTTAAATGAGCTATTACTTTACATGTTAAATGAAAAAACTCGTTATTTATAGAATATTATGGTATCTTAAAAAGGTGTATTAAATAAAAATGTATGAATTACAATGAGGCTAACTTTAATAAAAATTGAAGCATTTTTATCTCTGAAAATGTGTTCCGCGTTTAGCTCAGGATCTCGTATATTTAGTTTTAATAAAAAAAACTATATGAGCTTCCAAGCGGGATATACATTTTAATAAGTTTGATATGAAAACACATTCCCTAAACGAATAATAATTCCTCAAGAAGAGAAGCAACATCAATAAAATAACGAAGGTATCGGCATCATATTTATCTTACACATGGCACAATCCTCAAAAATAAAAAATAAATAAAAAAAACTCCTAATTACCGTTTAAATAAAACATCGAAGAACATAAATATTCTCCTGCTTTGGAGGAATCTGAGTTTTGCGTGTGACATAAGTTAAATTTATTTGACAGCTGACGAATACTTAAGGTCAGTTTGAATCGTGGTCATCTATCGACTTAAATACCGTGTGAAAGGAAAGGAAAGGAATAGAAAAGAGGAAATCTCTTGCGAAGAATGCTTCTCTTTCACTGAAAGGAAAAGAAACATATACATCAGATAGCAGCAAACGCTCTCCAGACCACCCATCTTATAGTGGCCCAAACAATTAAGTACACATGCAACAATCTGAAACAGTTCAGTCTCCTTTATCCCATACGCTAAATGCCAATTCGTCTTCTTCAATTTCACTCAAGGTAATAACACCCCTGCTGATTTCACCTTACAGTATTCCTTTGTTACAGAAGCACTGCACCGCCAGTAAAAACGCGTCTTTTTTTTTGTACAAACCCAGGTTACGTAAAAAATATGGGGTGGAGGGGGGGCTTCAGAGTTTCAGCTTCTGTAAGAGAGCACAAAGCCTTGAATCCTTTGTCAGGGGAGCCTTTCCTTGTTACAATCGAATCGTAAACGTCCCAGGTTACGAAGAAATTTCGATGTTGATTGAGCCTGGTTTTGAATCAAAGAATTAAAATCTAAAGGACAAGGTTTTACTTCTATAAAAATGTTCAAAGCTTTAAATCTTTTGATAGAAGAATATTTTTCCTACAATCGAATCGTAAACCACTTCGTAACCACTTAAAGTTTATTTACGATTGGCATTGTAAAAATCTTTCAGCTTTTGGCATTTAGCTATCATTTAAACATGTCAGTATTTATGGCACGCATGCCAGAATAGACACGCGGTACATTTCTCAGAGGTACTCGATACCACACTATAAATTTCTCAATTTTTGAGTGGACGTTGATGATTTTGAAATGAAGCTTATTGAACTAATATGTCCAGAATTATGGGAAGCAAAATCTACAGAATTACGAAAAAGGTTTAAAAGATAATTCTAACGATAAATCAACTGCCAATTTAATTGTTCCATGTCATTACTACAGAGATTTAATTGTGTTTGAAGATAACTCTGTTGAGAATTGTTTGACTCTGCTATCCGCGTTTGGTTCTACATATCTATGTGAACAAGTCTTCTCATATAAAAAAATATTTTGAGTCTGCAAAGAAGTTGTTTAACAACTGAGAGAATGTTCAGAATCGTGTTAAATTGAAAGTCACAAATTATACCCAGCATTGAAATTTAAAGTACAGAATAAAGATTTGCATTAAAATTTTTATTTTTGTTATTTAACTACATTGAAGAGAAATACTTATATTTTATGCAGTTTATTTCTTATTTTAAATTCTTATTTAAATATGTTTAAAAGAGATGCATTATACCTAATATATGATTAGTTTAATTTTGTTGTTGTTGTTGTTGAAGGAATAGTTAATTTTGTTTTTTTATTCTTAATGTTAATAAATACCTTTGAATGATGCAAAATTAATGAGAATAAATCTGTATTCATGATGTCTATTTCCTAACTCTACCCGCATTGCCGCGGAAATCGAATTGCTTTAAATATTTCCAACTGTGTGGTTGATTGATAGATTGGTTTGACACACCACAGCGACAAGGTTGCCGATCTTTGATTTAACCAGGTGTTATTAAAAAGAAAATAAAACCTAATTCAATCACAAAGAACTACAACTATATATTTTACTATGTTTGCTTTACTTGAGTATTTTCTTTGAAGGCTTACACTCTTAGCGTTATATTCTAAAGTGTGTAAAAATGAAAATTTCTAACTGGAATTAGATGCGATAGCAGACTCAAATTCGGCCATTAGTATAATTCAAAATAACAAGTTTTTTGTGGTAACTTTCCATTTATTGTCTTCTTTCTCATCGACATCCCCCAAAAGTCCTCAGCTGAACAGTGCGACGTTAATATTCAATCAATCAATCAATCTCATCGACATCCATTGTCAACGAGTGGGGCTATGCAGTGTATAAGGGCTTGTGGATATAAATTATACTGATCAGCTTGCACATAATTTATCGGCTGCGTGGTTCAGATCTCAATGACATCGGTTGAACTAATGACCGGTTAGTATTGTCGGGGAAAAGGGGTTTTGAATTTTGAAGGGAGAAACTGTGATGAAAGAGAAAGTTGGACCTTTTGCCGTTGGGTCGCGTGGCAGCTGGTCACCCAAACCTCTTCAAGACAGATGGGGGATTGCAGACAAATTAGCCCACCGGCGTCACAACTACGGTAGGAAGGGGGTAGAGTAGGCCCCATTCTGGTGGTGATGGAAAAGAGAGACTCCCGGAAAATTTATGTCCCTGTGGTTTTCCATCCTGATTGCTTTTTCCACAATCTGATTTCCCACTTTTACTATTAACCCACCCTAAATGCACCCCTCCCCCTTTCATATTCACAGCTGTCCATGGCACATCCATGGTTTTGAAGTCTTAATCGAGGACACTTTGGGAATAAAAAGGGTAGGGGGTGGAGGGGTTAATGAGGAATTCCTGATGAAATAGTGCGTTTTTCGAAGAATTATGAAATATCGAACATGGCTTCGAGATGAGAATCGAATTCATTGAATAATTTTATTACCCGGAGTTGAAGTGTTT